AGGTCCCTTCCAACTCTTCACATTCTGTGACATTCTGTGATGGCTTCCTCATCAAAGCAAGGGGAAAGGACCAGATGCCTCCCAACCAGCTATATAAATACATATACATATGTGTATATGTGTATGTGTATGTATGTATATGTGTGAAAATACATATATGTATGTATGTGCTGTGTGTTGCTGTCCTCACAGGTGCCCAGTCATGGCAGGAGGCCTGTTCTCCATCGACAAGAAGTACTTCTTTGAGCTGGGAGCCTACGACCCTGGGCTGGACGTCTGGGGAGGTGAAAACATGGAGATTTCCTTCAAGGTACATCGCTTTGGGGGTTTGGTTTCTCCTCTGCTTGCACAAAGCAGCCAACATCTGCCCGTGTTTCTCGTCATAGACTGCGTTGGGTTGGGAGGGACCTTTAAAGGTCGTCCAGTCCAACCCCTGTGGTAAGCAGGGACATCTTTAACTGGGTCAAGTATTTGATTGAGCTAAGTGGCAGCGCTGCTTCTTCACTGCTAGCTCTGTTCCGTTATTCCTGTGCGTTTTGGGCAGTGATAGTGTGGTATTTTGCCATTTGTGCTACCACCATTCAAATAGAATCAGAGAATAATCCCAGGTTGGAATGGACCATAGGGATCATCCGGTCCAGCCTCTTGAGGTGAAAGTAGAGTTGAAATGAGATGAGTCAGCACCCTGTCAAGCTGACTCTTAAAATTGATCAATGTAGGGGAATTCACCACTTCCCCAGGAGATTGCTCCAGTTTCTAATGGATAGATTGTTCCAGTGTCTGTTCTGTCTGTTATTTCTGTCACAGCAGCCTCTGTTTCGCAGGTCTGGATGTGCGGGGGAGAGATCGAGATCGTGCCGTGCTCCCGGGTCGGGCACATCTTCAGGAACGACAACCCCTACCCCTTCCCGAAGGACCGGGTGAGGACGGTGGAGAGGAACCTGGCGCGGGTGGCCGAGGTGTGGCTGGACGAGTACAAGGAGCTGTTCTACGGCCACGCGTACCACCTGCTCCGGAGGGGCCTGGACCTGGGCGACCTGGCCCCGCAGATGCAGCTGCGCAGGAGGCTGCGCTGCAAAAGCTTCCGCTGGTACCTGGAGAACGTCTACCCCGACCTGGAGGCTCCCCTGGTCAAAGCCGGCGGGCTGGTACGTACCCGAGGGCTTATTCTTCATTTAAACATGTGTTTGTTGCTGGCCAAGACCTTGGTAGCATCCCAGTCTCTGAGCAGGTAGCATTTTTGAAGTTATAAAACGTGACAGTGGTCTGGATTCCCCAGTGTTTTTATAAGTCACAATTCCAAGAGATAATTTCCCATTAAGGAGCCAGTTTGGTGTTCAGACACCTGATGAGCGCCCGTGCAGCCGTCATCGCCATGGGATGCATCGCCAGGGCAGGAGGTCCAGCATTCTCTCACCCTGCACAGCTTTTTGGCCATGGTCGGAGAGGAAAACTCGGTTTTCGGGGCAGGCAGGAGATGCTGCAGGCAGGGAGGGGGAGGAGGGG